CGGGTCGACGGTCCGCGGCCGCCCCGCCGATCAGCGCTGCCGCTGGCCAGGCCGACGGTCCGCGGCCGCCCCGCCGCTTGCCGGGGCCCAGCCTGCAGGGAAGAAAGGTATACCTTCCAAAAGGGGTTCGATCGAAGACGAAGAGGGCGGGTATCGAGGGTTTGGGAAATACGCGTTATTGGACATTCGAGAAGATAAGGGCGAACAGTCTTAAAATGGTTGTTGTTGGTGTTGTTGTTGGTGTTGTTGTTGGTGTTGTTGTTGGTGCTGTTGTCGGTGTTGTTGTTGCTGTTGTGTGTTGCTGTTGTTGCTGTCGGTGTTGTTGTCGGTGTTGTTGTTGTTGTTGTTGTTGTTGTTGTTGTTGTTGTTGTTGTTGTTGTTGTTGAACATTATTAATTCTAAAGAATAATTATTGTTGGGACCCCTGGTGCACGGCCCCCCCGCCGCGCCTAGGCCGCAGCTACATTTTCATCATTTTTTCGCGAAAGCTTCAGAAAAGTGGATGGGGTCCAGATCCGGTTGTTTTGTTGTAATCCGTTTTCCCTTGCAAAAAACACTATAAAATGACATTTCTTGTTCTAATATAATCAAATTTCAAGAATCCCTTGCAAAAAATAAGGTAAAGTGGACATTCGCGCGCGCAAGACGAAATCCTTCCAAAAGCTTAGTGTTCGGAGCGATTTTAACATAAAAACATCAAAAAACCAATGGTTTTTCAACAAAAAATGTCAAAATCTCATCCCGCGCGCTCTTGCGGATTCGTAGGAAACCCAACACTTTTTAAACATTTCTGTCAAACGGGCTTTTGCGAGCAACTTTTTCGAACTTCTGCGACAACGGTTGCGCACCTGCCAGGGCCATCATCCCTGTCAAATAATACCATCCGCGCATGTGCCCAGCATGGCACAATTGCACCATGCTGGGCACATGCGCGCCCCGAATAAGTGACCAAGTTCTGTGGGTGTGTACCCCACGCCAGTGTAGTAGCCACGGTCGTCCGCACGCCACGAAGTGAAGTGTCCCAACGTCATAGGGCGGGAAGCTGGGTTTGGGTGGTCGCGAAGAGTCGTTTGGATATTTGGTAGAGCTTGTAATGCCCCCCCACGAAGTGGGGGTATTGCCTGGTGTCGTATGAAAACCCTGGCACTGGGGAGAACACCACGCGTTCGGGTAAAATGATTGTTGTTGTTGTTGTCGTTGTCGTCGTTGTTGTTGTTGTTGTTGTTGCTGTTGATGTTGTTGTTGTTGTTGTTGCTGCTGCTGCTGCTGTTGTTGTTGTTGTTGTTGTCGTCGTCCCCCTTGCGACCCGCCCGCGACCCACCCCCGAGGGAGGAAAAACCACCCGGACCCGACAATTGACGTTTAGTAAACAGCCCTGGGCGTTTATTCAACCGCGACCCACCCGCGACCCACCCCGCGACCCACCCCGCGACCCACCCCGCGACCCACCCCGCGACCCACCCCGCGACCCACCCCGCGACCCACCCCGTGACCCGCCCCGCGACCCGCCCGCGACCCACTCGCGACCCACCCCGCGACCCACCCCGCGACCCACCCGCGACCTACCCCGTGACCCGCCCGTGACCCACCCGCGACCCATCCCGACCCACCCCGACCCCGCGACCCCCGCGACACCGCGATACATCCGCGACCCCCGCGACCCACCCGCGACCCATCCGCGACCCGGCCCGCGACCCACCCGCGACCCGGCCCGCGACCCACCCGCGACCCACCCGCGACCCGTTCGCGATCCACCCACATGACTTTAACGAAAATCGGCGCCTGCGGCGGGCTCACTGCATAATTTGTAAAAAGTTTGGCGCCTGCGGCGGGCTTCTTCAGAACCTCGCAGACTGACAACGTCTTCGCCGCCCTTTCACTCTTATCCGCAAATGCGGGATGCCACGAATTTCCTCAGAGAGAATATGAGCGGCGACGGGGCGGCAACGAGGCGGCGACGGCGACCACGGAGCCGCCAGACCGCCACACAGGCCCAGACAACGGGCGGCGACGAGGCGGCGATCGGGCGGCGATGGCGACCACGGAGACGCCAGACCACGGACCAGGCCCAGTTCCTTAGAAAACAAGTAACCGACCCGAAGTGCAAGCACTGTTTGAGGAATACAGGCGTGTATGTGTGTATATATAGACATCTTTATAGGTGTATACATACATGTATATATATATACATACATACATACATACACATACGTTTGCGTATACAGTTATGTATGTATATATAAACATTTATGTACAGGTTAGCCAGCGTGAACCCTAAAGAGTGACGTCTTGCAATATCTGCGGTCTAGGTGGCGCAATACATGTGATGTTTTGCAATGCAAAGCAATGCAATGCAAATCAACGCAAAGCAACGCAAAGCACCGCAACGCAATGGCAAGCAATGCAGAGCAGGGCACAGCATTGCAGCGCAATTCAATACAAAGCAATGCAACGCAAAGCAATGCAGCGCAATGCAACGCAATGCAAAGCCATTCAAAGCATCTCAGAGCAATGCGAAGAAACTCAAAGCAATGCAACGCGATGCTACGATTCAAGGCAAGCCAAAGCCATGCAACACAATGTAAAGCAATGCGTGGCAGTGCAATGCAGTTCAAGGTAATGCAAGTTCAATGCAAACCTACGCAAAGCTATGCAATATAATGCGATTGCAACGCAATGCAATTGCAAAACAACGCAACGCAATTGCATTGCAATGCAATGCAACGTGATACAATGCGATTGCAATTCAGCGCAATGCGGTTGCAATGAAATCCGATTGCAATGCAGTGCAATGCAAAGCAATGCAAAATAACGCGAAGCCAGGTGAGGTAATGCAGTGCGGCGCAAGCCACTGCAACGCAATACACAGCAATGCAAAGCAGAGCAAAGCAAATCAAGGCAGTGCATCGCAATACAAAGCAACGCAAAGCCATGCAACGCAATGCAAAGCAACGCAGCGCCGTACAACGTAATGCAAGGCAATGCGCAGCAACACAAAGCAATGCGAAGCTATGCATAGCAACGCAATGCGATGCAATGCGATTCAAAGCAGTGCACCGAAATGCAATGCAGTGCAAAGCAACACAATGCGATGCAAAGCAATACAATGCTATGCAAAGCAATGCAAATTAACACGAAGAAATGCAAAGCAACGCGGCGACGGGCGGCGACGAGCCGGCTGGACCGCCCAACACTGGGGCCCAGCGGCGACGGCGGCGACGGGCAACGACGAGCCAGCCGGACCGCCACCGGGGCCCAGCGGCGACGAGCGGCGACGAGCGGCGAAGAGTTGGCCGGACCACCACAGGGGCCCCAATATTTCAGTCATTAGTAACAACTCCTAAGTGCAAGCACTTTAGGGTGAGCGTTGACACATGTATATGTCACATGTGTACATATATACACACATATACGCACATACATGCACGCATTTATATAGACATGCATACATACAGGTTCGTGCATACATCTGTATACGGATCAAAGCATAACCATGGTCTGATGCACATGTAAATGCACACATACATGCAAACATACATACATGTGTGGGTACATCGAGATATAGCAGTACGAAAGTTTACGCGTTCGGCCTCTAGAGGCCCTCGACGGGCCCTGGGATTGAAAAACAGACTCAGGATGAAGCGCTGGTCACCGAGAGTGGAGCGAGATTCTTGGGCATCGGATCTCGAGGCCCGCGCGGCGGCGCCGCGGGCTGCGCCGCGGGCCGCTGCAGCCCTGGGCTCGGGCGGGCGCCCGGCGTGCCCGCCGCGCTCCCCGCGGTGGCGAGGGCGGGGATGTCAGGCGCCCTGTCGGCGCACCCGGTGGAATTGTGGTTTGTGAGGCACGGGGAGAGCAAAAACAACGCCATCCTGAAGGCTGCGGGCGGGCTCGGCGCCATCCTGTATCCCGTTAAGTTTGACCAGGACCCGCACATAACCAAAGAGGGCGTGCGCGTGGCCAAGTCCAACGGCCAGCGGCTGCTGGCTGCCAACGCCAAGTTTGACATGGTGCTTAGCTCCGCGATGGTGCGCACTATGGAGACGGCCTACTACATGTTCGTGGAGACGAACATTATCCAGCTGTCTGTGGCAAACCCCGCCACTGCGCCAGCGCAGAAACGCAGCGTGAAAGCGTCTGAGTTCCGTGTGCATGTTGGAGCTTTTCTGAGGGATCTTGGGGGTCTCTTTGGCCTCTCGAGGTGCTTTTAAAGACCTCTTGGGGGCATGTTGCGGGGTGCTGGAGGCAACCCTGAAAAAGGCTGTCAAGGCTGGCTCGATTCACCCTTCTTGGGCCCAGCTTGGGGCCTTCTTGGGGGCCTCTCGGGCCGTCCTGGGGGCATCTCGGGCCGTCCTGGGGCTCCTTTAGGCCGTCTTGAGGGCCTCATGGGCGGTCTTCGAGACCCCCTGTTCCGTCTAGTGGCCCTCTTGAGACCAGGATACTTATTTGGGACTTTTGGGGTTATATTGGGTTTTCCGAAGCCAGACTGGGCCAGCATGTTAAAGCCTGATACAGCACCAAAGAAAACAAATGTGTTTTGCTCTCGAGGGCCGCTTGGGCGTCCTCTTGGTGCCCTCTTGGGCCGTCTCAGGTGCCTCTGGGGCTGTGTTGAAGCCATCTTTGGACCCTCTTGGAGCGTCTGGGGGCAAACTTGGGCAGTCTTGGAACAGCCCTGGAGGCATTTTGACCGTCTTGTGGCGAGCTTGGAAGTTGTGGGTCAGTTTTTGGCTGGTTCGGCTTGTCTTCGAGCGTTTTTGCTTATGTTTGATGTTCGGTGTGCTTTTCCTGTGTTGGCTGATTGTTGGCCAGAGATTATCCTAAGAGCCATTGAACAAGGGAAATGCCCCAACATCGGTTCTTGAGAGGGGAGGTGGTTTCTGGAGATGCGTGAGGCGAGGGGATGGGGTCGGCGCTAGAAAACACCAAAGAAACCTGACAAGACAGCAGAGGAGCATTCTAGCACGCCCCAACGTGCACAAGGGCACGGTGGCGGATTGACCGAGTGTACGTTGCGCCGTTCATCTCGGAAGTCCCTCTGTCATTCATGCGGGTCCCCCTGCACGAGAATATCCCGCTGTCCCGGGAGGAGCAGGTCAGGATATTGGGCCTGTACCATGGCAGCGAGCTTCTGGACCGTCTCGACTTCAGCCTGGTCGGCGGCCCGCTGGGGGACAACGAGGAGACTCTCCCTCCCAACGGGGACAACTTCCTCAGCTGGTTGGATCAGCAAGACGCGCTGTGGAACCTCATTGAGTCTCGGAAGGCTGCTGGGCAGGGCGTTGGTGATGCTTCCGAGCCCATCAAGATCGGCGTAGTCACGCATTCGCATTTCATGATGAAGAAGAACCTGCTGCGCCTGGACACGAGGCCCCGCAACGCCGACATTTGGATCGCGAAGGCGTACGCGATGCGCACTGGGGCCGAGCCATGGCTGACCCTGACAAATGTACGAGGCTGGTATCAAGAGGCGAAAGAATTCGAAAGGGAAAAGATGGGTGCTCTGTTGCACAAGGCCGAAGAGAAGTCGAGGAGACTCCAGAGGAGGTACGCGAAGAAGATTGCTAGCTTGCAGAAGAAGCTAGCCGAGCGCGAGGAACGATACAGGAAGAGGGGGAAGGACGTGGACCCCGAGGAGAGGCAGAAGGCAGCGGAGAAGGAGGTGCAATTCAACGAAAAGATGGCCCAGGACCAGACCAAGCTGGAGTCAGAGATCGCCCGGCTGCAGCAGGAGGTCGCGTCATTGCAGCAGCCTGCTGATAGCCCCCTGGCGACGAACCCAGACCCTCCGCCCTAGCAGGTCGCGCTCTGCTGTCATCATCCCCGCAACAGTGTGAGCGGCTTTATTACGATGTTTCCCGTGCGAGCTTGCTGGTTGCATTCGCATCTAATTTGCTTATGATATGCGTGAGATTGGACTTGAGCCAGGCGCTTCCGTTGGTATCAAGATCAATATTGAGTTTCATGGTGTGAGACTGGGGTGAACCCGCATTCGGCTCGTCACTGCCAAGCAGCAGATCATAGCCATACAGCCTGAATTGTCTATTGTATTGACTTGTCAATTGTCGGGTCAGTGCACTTGGCCGTCGCGCGATTTTATCGCGTACACGTGCAAGGATACGTGGGGGCTGCGCGTATGACCTCGTTTTGCATCAGCGTGCGCGTGCGTACGCATCTACCCGCCACGCTTTTTCGAAAATGTGTTTCATTACATACGAGTTTCTCTCGCCTCTGCCCTTCCTGTCCCGCAGCTGGTCCTCGCAGCTGCCAGCGACTCCCCTTCGGACAAAAAGGCCGACAACCAGTACACTCTTATAAGACGGAGCCGGCAAAAAATGGTCGCGGAAAAGCCAGACAAAAGTGGTTGAGCTTTGCTGCGCAAAACGCGCAGACACGCAACGCTCGCAGGGCGACCAAGTCTCTGTTCAGCGCGAGATTTGCAAGAGGTGACCACATGGGCAAGCATTGCGTGGCCACCAAGCGAAGCGACGGACACGGTGCAGAATTGAGACGCAGAGAGCCAGAGAGCGAGAGGGAGAGACAAACAGAGGGAGGGAAGGGAGAAATAGAGAAAGAAAGACGTGGAAGGATCCAGAGATGGACACTTAGTTGGACCAGGAGAGAGTAGAGAGATGGACACGCTGCGAAATTGAGATACGCGGATACAGAGAGCAAGAGAGCGAGACACATATACATATTTGTGTATATATATATATATAGAAAGAGAGAGAGAGAGAGAGAGAGAGAGAGAGAGAGAGAGAGAGACAGACAGACAGACAGACAGACAGACAGACAGACAGACAGACAGACAGGCAGGCAGACAGACACAGACAGACAGACACACACAGTCACAGACAGGGCGACACACAAAGAGAGTGAGAAAGAGATACAGGGTTGGAAACATACAAAGTAATGCGAAGACATAAGGGGTACAGAGTTGAGACAAAGTTAAGAATGGATCCCAGGATGTTCGGACAGCCTCCCAGTGTCATGATGATGGGGTCCTTGATGCTCGTCACTACCTGCCCTCATTTCGTGATGTTCCTCTCCGGTATCTGTATGCCGCCGTTTCGGCTCGAGATACGATCATTTAATGCACGCTGCGTGGTCTGACAAACACGCACGACGCTTCTACATCCGATGTGCATTGTCGTATTCTCCAACCAGCGCTTGCACTGAAGGGTCCGCGCGGATATTGTAAGGAGTTGACGAAAGTATCCCGCCGATATTGGCGGGCGGTCGGATTCTTTGGGTCACAGATCCCAATCTTACGCTTCAGTGTTCTATGGATTTGACGAATGTTTGCCGCAGGTGTGGGCGGTTAGGTTCTTAGGTGCGTGGTTATGGGTCTTGTTGAAAGTTTCCCGGCAATTCTAGTATGCGAGTGGAGCCCCAGGCTCCCAGGACAGAGAGCAGAGAGGACAGAGAGAAGGGGAAGCGCAGAGGACGGAATATCCTATATCTATATAGTCCGAAGGCCTTAAAGCATGTGCCGCCGATCTGAAGGGGGACAAGAATAGCAAAAACAATGGTAATAACAAGAACAACAAGAACAACCACAAAAACAACAACAACAACAACAACAACAACAACAACAACAAACACAACAGAAACAACAACAACAACAACAACAACAACAACAACAACACTAGTTTTGAGACCTTTCGCTCTTATCTGCGCACGTGCCACTCAGCACGTATATTCCAAACTCTCGATACCCGCCCTCGTCGTCTTCGATCGTGCCTCCTTGGGGGTCTTATATTCGTTTACCTGCAACGTTTATTTCGTGTAGCCCTTAAGGCAGGGGACGACAGGACGGATGGAAGTCAGGGGCAAGGGGGAGGGAGGAGCATGGAGCACGAAAGAGAGAGAGAGAGAAAGAAAGAAAGAAATAATGAAAGAAAGAGACTAGCAGTTGGGGTGCTAGGAGTACAAAAAACGTGGCAGAACCTGACGGGCAGATCGGGCGGGTAGACCCTAGCAGGCGGGTCGCTGGAACGTGCGTGCTGCAGGAATCCCAAGGAAGTCTCGAGCGATAACGCGATACCCACACCAGTCATGAAAAAAAAAAACCGGAGCGAGAGCGTGATTCTTGAGAGCCGAGGGCGCCGCGTTTCATTTAATTGTTAGGAAGTCCCACGCGGGAGCGCGATTCCTGCATACCTTATGGTGAAGTCCCGCGCGAGAGCGCGATGTTGAAATACACTGTGAGGAAGTATCAGGCGGGAATTGTTGTTGCTGTTGCTGTAAAAGGCGGGCCAGGTGCGCAGATTGGTGACACTGCACCCTCCCTCCAGCAAAAAGGGCGCGAGCCCCAGGAGAAGCACTTCATTTGAGAAAGATAAGAAACCCCTTGAAGTATGTTTGTTACCTGCAGCGCGAGTTACGTGCAGCCCCATAAGGTAGGGGAATAGAGTACGGATGAAAAGAAGGGGCACGGGGATGGAGGAGGATGGAACACGAGAGAGAGTTAGAGGAGGGGGGCTGGGAGCAGAAAGCGCGTGGCAGAACCAGACGGGCAAATCGAGCGGGTAAACCTTCGCGGGCGGGTCGGGAAGGCGGACCCAGGCGGCCAGGTCAAAGCAGGCGGGTCGTTGAAGCGTGCGTCTTGCATGAAATCCCAAGGAAGTCTCGAACGATAACGCCACACCCACATAAATCATGAAGAAATCCAAAGCGATTGCGTGATTCTTGAGTGCCGTGGGCGCGGCGTCTGAATAAGTCGCCAGGAAGTCTCACGCGAGAGCGCGATTTGTGCATACATAGTGAGGAAGTGCCGCGCGAGAGCGCGATTGAGGAATACATTGTGATGTGGTATAAAGCGGGAGCCGTTGTCGGTGCAACTCGGGGGCCAAGGGGCCGGGTTTGATATCCCCTCGCTGTTTTTCTTATTGGTACGAAAGAGAAAAAAGGCAAGCCTCGGGAAGGGCACTTCACTTGAAAAAATACAACGTGCCTCACAGGTAGGGATCAACAATATTTGTTTCCAGTAGTGAGAGTTCAACAACAACAACAACAACAACAACCATTTTAAGGCTGAACGCTCTTACTTGCCCGCGAGTCATTCAACACGTATACCCTACACCCTCGATACCCGCCCTTTTCGTCTTCGATCACACCCCTTTTCGGGGGGATTATTTCTCTTTGCTGGGGCCGGCGGGTTTAGACGTACGGGCAAACCGGAACGGGCGGACAATCCTTCGGGGGCGTACATCTCCTTGCCCGCCATTGGAATTGGCGCGGGCCCTGCAAGAGGAGGAGGGGAAGAACGAGGGAGAGTGGGAGGAAGGGGAGGGGGAAGGACGAAGGAAGAGGGAAGATACCACGTTGTGAAGGCGTCCTTGGCGCGCGTGTGGTTCCTGAGCGCCGAAACGCAATTCCAGAATAATTTGTGAGGACGTCGCACGCGAGAGCGCAGTCCTGAGTACATTGTGAGGAAATCTCAGGCGGAAGCGGGGGCCCTGACTAAGTTGCGAGGAAGTCTCAAGCGGGAGCGCCGTTCCTGAGCAAATTGCACGGAAGTCTCAGGCGGGAGCGGGGGTCCTCACTAAATTGCGAGGAAGTCTCAGGCGGGAGCGCCGTTCCTGAGTCAATTGCGCGGAAATGTCAGGCAGGAGCGGGGGTCCTGAGTAAAATTCGAAGAAGTCTCACGCGGGAGCGCCGTTCCCACGTAAATTGCACGGAAGTCTCAGGCGGGAGCGGGGGTCTTGATTACATTGCGAGGAAGTCTCAGACGGGAGCGCCTTTCCTGAGTAAATTGCGCGGAAGTCTGAGGCGGAAGCGGGGGTCCTGAGTAAAAATCGAGGAAGTCTCAGGCGGGAGCCGTTGTTGTTGTAGCCCGGGGGGCAGGGGCACAGTTTGAGCAGGAAGATTTTCCTTTAGAAAAAACAAGGTGCGAGCCCCGGGGGTGGCACTTCAATCGGAAAAAAATCAATGTGCACCGGCGGGGGGAGATCAACAATAATTATTCTTCAAGAATGAGAGCTCAATCACGTTAAGACGGTCCGGTCTTACTGGCACGCGTGTCTTGCATTCTGTATACCCCAACTTTCGATGCCCGCTCACTTCCCGATTGCACCCCTTTTCGGGGGGAGTATCTTCCTCGTCGGCCACTGAAGTGCGACGAAGTCTCGAGCGAGAGCGCCGTTCCTGAGTTCGTGGGCCTCTCTGGCCAGGGGCTCTCGGAATACCTATGGAAAAATACCGACCGGGAAACCTTGTCGCCGCGTCTGGGCCTCCACCAACTTGCTTGCATTACGAGAACGTCTCGAGCGCGAGTGCCGTTCCTGAGTTCGGGGGCTATCCTAGCCAGGAAGTGTCGAGCAGGAGCCTTTGTCGTCGTGGCTGGGCATCCGCCAAGTTGGTTGAATTGCAACGAAGTCTCGAGCGAGAGCGCCGTTCCTGAGTTCGGGGGCCTCTCTGGCCAGGGTGTCTCGAGGTAAATTGCGGGGAACTATCGAGCGGGGGCCGTCGTCGTCGTAGCTGGGCCTCCAAGTGGACTCAAGCCACCGCTCGCGCGGGAGCTTCGTTCTCAAAGAACACGTAGCCGGCGTCGAGGCGGGAACGCGCAGAACCGCTTCCGGAGATCAACAAGAATTAGTTTCTAGAAATGAGTACCCAATCACATCAACAATCGTTTGACCCGAGTGCTCTATGCTTCTGATATGCAGCATGCATCCATCATAGTACCTCCCCCGTTATGGGGGATGTAGACCTTGCGCCCGGGGGCCCGAGATTCCCTCTCCGTGATCTCCCGCCCGAGGAGGTCTTGACAACGCCTCTTCCGAGGTATTTCAA